CGAAAAGCACCTTTACCACTGCCGAGGTCCTGATGCAGGTCTCTGCCGAGTGGTCCCGGTGGCAGACGGAGCGCCAAGCACATGCGCCTCCTACCCAACCTGCGGCCCTCCTGGCACAGTCGGTTCCACCCAGGTCTGCCAAGTCCAAGCAGATCACCCGTCCGGCCACGACCTCTTCGAAAACCTGCATATGGCATAAGAACTCAACCAGTCACGACTCGTCCGAGTGTTGGATCTCGAGAACCCTTTGTGAGAAGGGTGTGCCCCAGGAGGCTCAAGTTGCTGAGCAAACTGCACCGTCGTCCACCGCCCAACACGACGATGGGTACTTGTCCGTCGACTCCGACACGTCTGCATTCGTTGTGTCCACTACGCTTGTTCCGTCTCGACATGATCTTCCGGCCTCCTTGTCCTCGTTTGTCGTCGACTCGGGCGCGTCTAACCACATGGTGGTAGACGCCGATCTCCTTACGGCAGTCCGGGACACCAACCCTGTTCTGATCCATGTTGGTAACGGTGAGCTTCTCACCTCCCGTCAGCGCGGCCGCCTCTCGCTCGGTCCCGTGTCCTTCGACGACGTCCTTGTGGTGCCCAAACTGCACAGGAATCTCCTGTCAGTCCAACAGACCCCAAGCGCCTTCCGCTGGACCTTTTACAATGGTCAAGCCGTCCTCAGCCACCTCGACGGCACGGTCCTCATGACCTCTGCTCGCATCACCGACGCAAACCGGCTCTATGTCATCGAGGCCAGTGTTTCCGCCACCTCCTATGTCGCCTCAGCCGCTGACACCCTCTTAGACTGGCATCTCCGTCTAAGCCATCTCAATGTCAAGAGTGTCGTTGCAATGCTGAGGCAGGGAAGGTTGGGCGAAAAGGTTACGGTGTCTGCGGAGGATGTGAAAAGTTTCGAATGTGGTGCATGTATTCGTGGTAAAGGTACTCGCCTGCCCGCTCCTGTCAGCTCCATTCGCGCCACTGCACCCTTAGCCGTGGTCCACATCGACTTGTGGGGTCCTGCCCCTACTCCCTCCAATGGCCACCGGCGGTACTTCCTTACATGCTACCACGACTTCACTTGGAAAATCCATCTCTATTTCCTGGCCAAGAAGTCGGAAGCCTTCACATCTATGAAGACGTACATTGCTACGGTGGAACGCCAGCTGGGACGTAAGGTGAAGACGATTCGGTCCGACAACGGCGGGGAGTTTATTTTGAAGGAGTGGATCGAGTACATGGGACTACAAGGGATTGAGCACGTCCGCGTCCCGCCAGGCGCACATGCCCAAAACGGTCGAGTTGAGCGTGTCCATCTCACTATCCTCAACTTGGTTCGCACCACCCTCATCCAGGCTAGACCTGCATCAGGACCTCGGCAGTGGTAAAGGTGCTTTTCGACCACAGGAGCTGCTTGATCGGTCAATACTCTTCATCGGACAGCGCATGAAGCATGGCGTAGGCCACTTGTTGATCTTCAACCTTTTGGGACTGTCGCAGCTGTGCCATGGTGGCCCTCTGTGCGCCCAGGTAGGGGAGAGGGTCTGCCCCGGAAGGAACTCGGGTCGACCAGAGCGTAGAGTAAAGCTGACTAATTTGATGCCCAGTCGTTTGGAAGTAGAGGGTGAAAAGCTCATCCCAGAGCAGCTTTGGATTGGGACGGAAGACGTCTTGAGCTTCGGCCGAAACCGCGTTCTTAACAGCCTCGGAGAGAGACTGCAAGAGAATACCCAACCCTTCGTTCTGCTTTGCCAAGCGAGCCTGCTCTGTGGGAGTGAGAGGTGTAGGGATGGTGGAGGGATCTGAGGGATCCATTGAGTCGAAGTGGAAGGAAGGGTCCTCGAGGGGCTCGGACTTCAAGCAGAAGAGAGCCTGTTTTCGGAGGAGCAGCGAAGAGACACTAGACGACCATTGAATGTAGTTGGCGTTCCCCAAGAGAAGAGGGATCTTCGAAGAGGTGTCGCGGACGAGTTGACCGTCGTCGTATGCGGACATGTTGGATTTGGGGTGATCGTAGGAGAGGTATATTTGTTGGCGCTTAGAAAGAAGCGAGGCTCATAACCTGTTGACGTCCTAGTTCCCAGTATCAGTCAACGTGTATCTCTATACACACAGAAGACCAGAATGGTGGTACATACCTAGTTCCCAGTATCAGTCAACGTGTATC